GGGGGGAGTAGCATATAAATAACACCATAGCAGATAGAGAATCACAACTGAAATAAATTCCAATCAGAAAGTCACAAAAAATTGTCCAAACCATAAACAAATACCAGTATCTTACATTTGAAATAAAGTAAAAGCAAATAGAAAAAATAACATATATATAAAGTTAACACGACTTTTAAAGCTTAGTTACTATGCAAAGTAATCTGTATACCACTTAATGAGCATTTGTGTACTACAGTAGTAATGAAAATAGTAAAGTTAAAAAAATCCAGAGATTCCATCAAAGTTCTAAACCAGACTAACAGCAGCTAAACAGTTGTTTAAGAGATATTTTACACTGTTATCTGGGTGTCAGTATTACAGTGATAACCCGTGCTTGTATTATGCAGGTGAATTTTAATTTGTAAATACAGCTGTACTTTATTATAACAAACTTAATTATCTGTTTGTTTGTTTGTTTGTTTGTTTGTTGAACATACTTCCATACTTTTCATAGAAAAGATCAAACTTTTTTCATGCCAGCTCTTCCTCCAAATCATTTTGCATTGTTTTTGCATTATGCCAATAAGCAAGTTACATTTTTGTACTGGGGTATGTACCTCAGACCTATGTATTTCCAGGGGTTAATTCTCACCATCAGCGAGGAAGAGATTCACTGAGCTGTCTCAATTATCATATTGCTGAAACAGTAATTAGCATACCGTTGTCATGGTAACAAGTCCTCCAAGTTGCCAAGTGACTCTAAGATCACCATGGCAATAAGGTCATGTTGTTATAGTTACTACACCCTCATAGAAGGATATGACCAATGAGGGATGTTCTGTGTTGACACCTTGACAGCCTGAGGTGAGCAGAACCTGGCCAGATACTGGGGTCCGCCGGCCTTGTCATTGGTGCCTAAAATGGAAAGGAGGGTAAAAATAAAAAATCTTAATTCATTGGTTGATTTTTTTAAAAAATAAATGAAAGACTTGATTATTCTAAAACAATAGGGGACTGCAGTTTTATTTTTTAAAATCTTGTTATTATGACCACTGTTTTGATATAATTATTGATTATGGATCCTGAGAGGTATCCATCAGTACTTTTATTAAATTTTGAGATTTTTTCCACCCAGTACTTTAATTCCATCAGTACTTTTATTCGATACTTCAGAGTACTGGTCTCATGAGGTACTGTACCACCGGCTGGGTTTATGCATCTAAGATAAAATATATCAAAACTACAAGGCATTTTTTTAACATAAAGACAAATGGATGAAACAAAAATTGGAACCTTAAATAATCTGATTTCAGTACAAAAATTAACAAACAAATAAACAAAAGTAAGAGGAGTTAAAAGGAATAAAGAAAAAATCCTGAGTATATATCGGTGGCACTACCTGCAAGGCCAGAGCAACTGATTACCTGATAGCCTTGCTCCTCCAAAAGGCTGCTGCCCAACCACTGAACCAGTGCACTTGACATTGACATAAAAGTTGCCAGAGGCCTGCCTCAGAGCCCACTGAGCTCCTTCTATTACTGATCTGAAAGATGGAAAAGAACCTCTATACTACTCCCCATACATCTTGACAATCCCTTAAGACCTCCATGCAAAGAAATGGGAAATAAACCTGAGATGCATGCTGAAATGTACATGCTCGAGTCTTATTTTGCCAGTTAAAACAGTATCCACCCTGTTTTTTCCTATTTATTTATTTATCTTATTTTTTTGCAACCAGGCTTAAAATGTTTTTAAACAGTTTATTTCTATTATACCAAATATTCTTTAAAATTCTCATAGATTTAACAACTTGGACATAATTAAGGTTCACTTACTGGTCTTGGGCAAATATGGCGCCTGTGAGAGCAAAGGGAGATGTGGTGTCCACCAAGTGCAGCGTTTCCTCCCATTTCTTGTCTGGGTACACATATACTGTTAACACTGGACCAAAGATTTCCTGGAAATGTGCAGTTGTCAGATGAAAGACACGTACATATATAGGTACTGAACTTTGATCTATAATCCTTTTTGTGACTGTATTAAATAATTAAAAAGTGAAAGAACTGTGGTTGTATATCTTTCCTGGAAAAATCAGCTGGCATATCCTGGGTCTTTATAAACTTAAAATTTAAAGAATTAAGGATGATTTTATAATGTAATCTTAATTTCATGTCATTAAAAAAATTATAAACAACTGCAGAGCATTGTAAAAAAGCATAATGAAAACATATCACTTTACTACTGTTACAACTTGTTATTAATTTTAATTTCATACAAACAAATTAGTTCATAATAAAAAATCAGTAGCCAACTAGCTAAACAATAATTTTAAAGTGATACACAACGTTGAAAATGTCAGTTATTTCAGTTTAGTTTGCAGTCCCCTGTGAAAAGTTATTGCAGCCCCCTTTGCAGTCTCCTGCAAAATGTTGAAGTCATTGCAGCCCCCTTTGCAGTCTCCTGCAAAATGTTGAAGTTATTGCAGCCCCCTTAATTTGTAGTCTCCTGCAAAATGTTGAAGTTATTGCAGCCCCCTTTGCAGTCTCCTGCAAAATGTTGAAGTTATTGTAGCCAACTTTGCAGTCTCCTGCAAAAATGTTTAAGTTATTGCAGCCCCCTTTGCAGTCTCCTGCAAAAATGTTTAAGTTATTGCNTGTGAAAATTTCTAAGTTATTGCAGCCCCCTTTGCAGTCTCCTGCAAAATGTTGAAGTTATTGCAGCCTCCTCTGCAGTCCCCTGCAAAATATTTAAGTTATTGCAGCCTCCTTTGCAGTCCCCTGCAAAATGTTGAAGTTATTGCAGCCCCCTTTGCAGTCTCCTGCAAAAATGTTTAAGTTATTGCAGCCCCCTTTGCAGTCTCCTGCAAAAATGTTTAAGTTATTGCAGTCCCCTTTGCAGTCTGCCTGCTCAAGGAGACTGCACACTGGAGCCCCAGACTGCAAAAGGGCAGTCTCCCTGGCAGTCTCTTTGGCAGCCTGGGCTCCCGTGGGCAGCCGGGGCTCCCATTCTAGCTGGGAAATCAGATTTTTTGGGGGGGACTGGAGTCGGGATGAATTTCATTCCTTTGCTTAAAAGTAGAGTCTGGTACGGAGTGAGTTTTCTATCTCTGGTTAGGTTGTAGATGTAGCGTTCTGCCGACTTTGCGCGTTTCTTCAGGGATTCCCAGTGTTCTTTTTTCCCCTTTGTTTTCATTGCATTTTGTGTTTTACGTTTTCTCGCGTGCGTCTCTTTTCTTTTGTTTGTGTTTCTTTTTTCTCGACGTTTGTGAAGTTCTTTCTTCGTTGTATTCTCTTTTGTTCCTATCTTATTCATCGTAGAGCTGTTATATTTTGGAGCTTTCTTCCCTAGTCAACTGAGACAGGGTCTTTGTTTGTTTTTCGACGTGTTTTCAATCGCGCCGATAATTAAATTCCACATTGAGATTTCAGCCGAGAGATTTGTGGATGTTTCTAGGGACTCATTGTTTACTTCGTCTTCCGAGATCGTGACGTAACTGTCATTATCGTCTGTGGTGGTGTGGCTATGGTTTAGCTGTTTGCATGTTTCCATGGGCATGACGGTTGCCGCCGTTAAAGAGGTGCTGGGGGTAGGGTTTATTTTCTCTTCCCCCGCTTCTTTTTGTTCCCGGGCTCGTTTTTTAGCTTTTGGAGTTACCTCAGTATTTTCCGAGTATCTTTTTTTGGGGGTGCTAGTTAAACTGTCGGGAAGGTTTAGCCATATGTCGGCTTCCCGTTCTGTTTGGTTAAGATCAAATTTATTAGGTGTACTCGGTGGAGACCTGTTTGAGAAATCTTTGTTTTTCAAGATGAGTGGCGTGGTGATCAGCGCCATTGCTAGATTGTCGAGAGATTCGTCCCGATTTTTATTTTCGTGTGTAGGTGTTCGGATTGTCGATTCGTTTTTGTGGTTTTTGGTGAATGGACCCGGAGTAAGGCGGTGTGTTCCCGCTTTAGATTTTTCCCCGTTGGTCTTTATGTACCGAGGCGGGTTCTCCTTTGGGTGCATTTTCATTCCCAGTGTTCGTTTGCCCGTGATTTTCGATGTGCTTGGTTTGTTTTGTGTGTCAGAGAGACTTGCTATCCTTGATGTAGCCGTCTTCGGTGGATTGACACTCTTTGTGCTGGTCATAGGATGACTCAGGCTATTGTGTTCCGTGCCCACCTTTGTGTCGGGGGTGTGAAGATAAGTCGCCTTTATCCTGTGCTTTTCCGGTCTCTTGCTGTTCACACCTGTTTGAATGGTGCTGTTTAGATGCCCAGCTGCAAAGAGGTGTTTGTGTCCCGGCATGGGGTCGACATGATCAATAAAGTCAAAGTCGCTCTTTTTTCTCATGTCGTGGAATTCATTTAGAAGCTCGTTTGATTTGGATGATCTAGTTCGTTCCAGCTTCTTTCTTTGATTTTTCACCCAGTCTTTTTTTAGGTTGTATTCCTGGTTAAAGACTTTTTCTAGATGTTTATTGTTATTTTTGCTCCATTCAAAGGTCATAGATGATTTTTCCGTGGCTAGTAACATGTGTAAGTCTTCCGCTCTTGCTTCCCATAGTTTGCCTATTGTTTTGGAGAGTATGAGGGCCGACATGTAGGCAGCTTGTGTTATGCTTGGTTGGAAATCTTCTCTTTCTGTTATCAAAGTTGGTATCTCTATTTGTCTAAATAGATCTAAGACTTGTTTGTGGATATTTTTGCATGGTGTGCGATTCACTACGCATGCTTTTAGTAAATCACTGTGGTGTTCGGCTTGCACTATCTTTTGTTCTAGTTTGATGATAGCGTTTGCCTGCTCCTTTGGCGTGTTCCTTTTTGTAGCGTAATCACAGACGGGTAGGTGTTGTGTGTAAAGACTTTGTTCATCTGCTGGAGCTGTTATCTCCGGCGTGTTTCGATGAGAGGATAGTAAAACCCCGTCCTGCCTAGGCCCGGAGGCCCGGTTCCCGGTACAGACAGTCCGACATTGCGGCTCGCCCAGAGCCAAGTGAATCATGTTTGGGGGTGGTCGGCTCANAGCTTGGGCAACAAAATGGCAAAGGTATTTTCTGTCAAAAACTCTTGTCTGAGAAATAAAACCATCAGTGAAGAAGCATTAGTAGACAACATACCTCCTGCATTAGTTTGTCCTTGGGATCTGAAGTTTCAATTATTGTTGGCTCAACAAACCATCCCTTGCTGAAATGATACATTGAATATGACAGTTTATTTCCTGAAAGAGGCAGCAGATCTTGTAGTAAACAAGACTTTTTAGAATTACAATACTGTGGTACTGTTGTTTAAAATTATGTGAAGTTAACTATTTTAAAACATTGTCTAATTAAAGTAGGCAGGTATTTTACATATAAAGAAACTTAAGAATTACAATTAAATCAGACAGTAAGATGAGGTGGACAAATAGTAAGATCAACCCAACAATATTGAGAACACTACTTATTTCTGGTATCGAACCCAGAGACATTAACCATCTCACCTGTCGTCACACACTCCTCCCACCACAATATTCAGGTTAGGGTTTTCTTTTGCATAGTCTAGGTAACTCTTAATATTCTGAAATGACTGGAAAAAACAAACAAAAAAATTGCAATAGTTTGTTGGGAACCAGGGTCTACATGAAACCATGCAATACGACAGAAAACAATATTATCTTTAAAAATTAATAATATATTATAATATAGTTTTCTCTTTTATTACTGATGTTTATCCACAGGCAACCAAAATTAGAATTTAGCAATTTGCATGAGATAAATTGATTCTTCACAAAATCCAGTTATACCCAAATTGACTTTTTCTTTCTTGGTCATAAATTTTAACATTTCAGAATCTTTCAAACCATAATACCTTCTTAACAGTAAACTGTGATTATATTTAAGATCACCCAAACCATCAAAATTTCTTATCCATGCTCACTACAATTTTTATCAGATATTTTTTGATATCATAAGATGTCACTAGATAAATCAAAAACATTTTTTTATACAATAAAATATAACTACATTTATGAAAAATAATAAAAACAACTCAAATTCAACTCACAGCTTTATCAATCACAGCACTTAAGAAGGAATCAAATTCCAGTGGGGAACCCAGTTTTATCTTCTTGTACTCCTCTACAAACATGTCCTTAATCTGCAGCCACAAGGAGTGGGGAACATAGAGACGCGAGCAGGCGGAACATTTCTGACCACTGTATTCAAACGCTGCCCTTATTGTGTGATATACGACCTGTGTAATGTCTGCGCTGGGATGGACTAGGTGAAAGTTCTTACCTCCACATTCTAGAGAAGAAAAATGTTTTTAAACAACATGTGATCTAATGGTATTTAAGACTGTCAATGTTTGATTCAATTAAATTTATTTTTGTCCTTTGTATTATTTTTAATTTGTCATTCTAGAGAAAAACGCACTAGTTAATACTATGTTGTTTTCAAGATGGTCAATGAATCAATCAGCTTTATTGAATTTGATCCTGATATCATCACTGTCAATATTTCCCCTTTATTGTTGTGATATTTTCTGACAGTCTTCCAAATTATTTTTGCTGATCCAGGCTCCATTTATGACTGTCTTCCGACAGAAAAAAATTAGATACCCGTCAATGAAAACTTAAAAATCTGACCGTCTTCTGGAAAACCCATAAGACGGCCTAAATCTGCCCCTGGGTATAGGATAAAGTACACTACTCACCCCCTATTAACCTTGGGAAAGTTCTGTAGAGATGGAGATTCTTCGTGACCATGGCAGTCACCCTTTGATAGGTCCTACACAAAAATATTCAACAACTGTTACAATATAAAATTCAGCAAATTAATGCACCATCACCTGTTATGATTTAATTTTTTCTGTTTTGACATCACATTCTTCTACTTATCACTTATATCAGCAGGATTCACCTATTTTATCAAAATTTTATTTAAATGTTTTACGTTCAATCAGTTCAATTTTAATTTCAATAACACTCACTCAACACTTCCAGTAAAATTGATGCCAGCAAGATGTGGTGACGAGGTAATTGTTTCTCCGAATACAGGACCCGAGGACGGAAGGAAATTTATGACACCAGGGGGCAGACCTGCCTCTCGTAATATTTTGTAGAACGTGTAGTTTGATAAAACGGCCGTGCCAGCTGGTTTCCATAGCACCGTGTTACCCTGGCAACAGAGAAATTATTGCATAAAATCTTGCAAGTTGTAAAGGCAGCAAAATACTGAGAGAGAGAGAGAGAGAGAGAGAGAGAGAGAGAGGGGAAGGAGTGGGAGTGAGGGAGTAGTAAAAAGGACAGTTACCATGAATGCTGGAGCACTTGGCAAGTGACCACCAATGGCCGTGAAGTTGAAAGGTGTAATGGCTGCCCAAAATCCCTCACATCCTCGGAAGCTCAGGTAATTTGTATCTGTTGGTGTGCATACTGGTTGGTACTTGGCCATATCCTAGTGTAAATAAAATGGATGTTTATTATTAAATTATGTATTATTGCATATGGATATCAAAATTAATCATTTGTCTTTGTATCCGGTATGTATGTAAGAATGGTTCTCATTGAATTGCACAATTTTAGACTAATGACCTGTGATTTTGTATTAGTTACAACATAATATACATTGTTTAAGTTGGCTTTTTAATTACGAATAATTACAATGGAACAATGTATTTTTTCAAAACTTTTTAAATTAAAAAAAAATCACAGCAATTGATATCACCCCATCATTGAGCATGTTTACCAGTAGTTTAATACAGAACAGAAAACAAATGGAGTGACTCACCATGGCAAACTGAACATTGAACCTGAGAAAATCAATTAATTCACAGGCAGAATCTATTTCAGCTTGGATAATTGTCTTACCCTGAAAATAAAGAATATAAATACTGTAAGCATTTAATAAATCTAACCAATATTTAAATTTTCCAAAATGAGACTTCGTCTGTATTGTCTGATATTAAACAGATTGTTAAAAATGACATTATAAAAGATATCAAAAAATTAATTAAAGCAAAATATATATATGCAAACACTTGCACCTTAAAAAGCAAGAAAAATAAACCAATCAGGTTGGTTTTCAAACATGAGCTTTATGTTAGAAAATAAATCGCTGGTGTACATTTTGAAATAATGCCTTTTTGTAACACATTTTATTCTTTTGTGTTAATGAGCAAAAAATCCAGTAAAGCCCATGGCAACAAGGTGATGGAAACACCTCCAAAAAAAAAGAAAAAGAATGCAGATAGGTCTGTGACATAAAAGAACATTACCTGGCCAATCATGGAAGTAGCATTCATGTCAGCTCTGTACTTGGTGCTCATGAGATCTGCCGTTTTTAGAAATATCTCCGCCCTCTCCTCCAGTGGTTTCTTCTCCCAGGCTGGTCGTACTTTCTGACTGATGTCAATGGCTTTCTGGATCAGCTCCTGAGTAGGGGACAAAGACCAATATAATATAACTGCTCTGAAATGTTTTCCACTTTTTGAATATATTCATTTAGATTATTTTATATTTATTCTTTAATATATTCTTAAATATACTTTACACCAAGCTATTACATACAACAGAATTATAGTGATAACCCGTGCTTATATTATGCAGATGTTATACCTGTGACCACATACACTGTAGTTACAATTTATTTACTGACATATAAATCAAAGGTCTTAATAAATGCGTACATTAAAGTGCTAACTTGTGTTTTTCTTCCAGTTATAAATTGGAATGATTCTGATTGTTAACACTAGGTGCAATTACACAACAGTTTTCTTTGTCATTGCAATGGACCATAATGAAATTACTTGATTTTGTTTCAACAACACTTGAAATAATAAATACTTTTACAATACTTACTTTGGTTGCAAAATGGTACTTAGCCACCTGTCGTTGGTGATCAGCTGGCTGGAAAAAGAAACAGGATGATATATCACCAGACTTGAAAAAATATTCAAAACAATATTTTAACTGTAAGTCACTAAACAATTCTATTCTATTCTAAATTGGTTCAGAATAGTGTGTTTAATTCTACAGATGAAATCAAACATATAACTAAACTAAGTTAGCACAGAGCAATGTACATGCTGCAGACAAATGACTAATGGGTATTCTTTTCTTTTTTACAAACTTTAGATGTCTAATTTTATCAAATTTAATAGTCAATTAAGTCCAGAGGTTACTGAGGATAGTTTTCTGCAATATGCCCCCAAATTAAGTTTCACTCACACAGAGCTGATAACGAAACTCATCCGTGAAATGCTGATCATCTCCAACGATCACAGGAACCTCTGTCATTTTTCCCTCGTAGGACCTCAAGGCGTCCTCCAGCGCCATTCTCTCCCCACTACCAGGGGCATAATCCAAGACAGGCTCATTGGTAGCCATATAGGTCTTCAGGGAACTGGCGGACCTTAGACTTGTGTAGTCATGTCTGGAATATAATATGTTGTAAAATCATTGTTAAATAAAAACTTACTTATGCTTGTAGACATGTCCAACACTAGGGTAGTCAGCCTGTAGTCTTACAGAAAATGAGAAAATAGACTTCACATTTCAGTACACTCAAATATATGGACATTAATCATTTGTAAACTTGAACTATCAAAGGATTATTGCAAAAAAAGAAGGGTAATATTGAGCATTTTAATATTTTATAAGGTACAGAAGTAGTGAAAAAATTCCAATCAGCAGAAATTGACACATTTAAGTGCTGAAAGGGTAGAATATCTATCAAGTTATGTATTAAACTGTGTGAATAGACAAGTGATTATCTTGTGACTACTGGACCTGAAAAGGACAGTCTGCAATGTCACAGGGCATACAACAAATATGTACAAGTCAATATTTGTAATTTGATATGAACTAAATACATGGCCAGCCTTCATGCTCTGATTAAGTACATGTAATATATCCAATGTTGGATTGCTGAGCCAATTAAGGTACATGTACTGTGCCATTATCATTACAGGTACATTCAACAATGATCTAAAAAAGACAAACGACTCATCCAATATATATATATATATATGTTGTTGTTGTTGCTGTTGTGCATGTACTGTGCTACTGGTATATGAAAGAGGCTAAGCATGTACTGTAGTAGAAAAAATTGAACTGCTACAAAAGAATAACCATACTTTCTCAAAAATAAGTAATGCATGCATGATTAATACAGGTAATCCCCACATGTCATTAGATTTATAAACTAAAACTTCTGCAGCATCTGGAGAAGAGCATTTGAAACTCCTCGAATCCATTAACATCAAACATGGGGAGTAAAAAAAAATCATCTAAATATAACAGTAGCTATATAGCCCAAATACCTAAAAAATCCTAAGTACTAGTACCGTAAACAGCTTTTGTCTCAATTGTTTAATTTGATAAAGAAACAGGTAGGCAAAAGTGGAACGAAATCCAAGTGTATAGTGTACAACAAGCTCAGAATGCTTTTGTGTCCATTGCATATTCAAGGCTTCATGCAGCTGTAACTGTGGCTACGTACACTGTAGTTACAATTACATGTATCTAAGCTCATTGTTACTTTAGTACCAGGGGCCAAAGCTATTATCAAGCCAGGCTTTGCCATTCAACATACAGATACTCACATTACACACCTGTTGTAACATATACACCCAGACACACTATGCAGACCTGACTTTAACAAATCTGGATTTGCCTGACTGGCTACAAGAACTAGACAGTGTCTAGGATGATTGAAAAAAATTAACTATTATTTTATCCACATAATAACAGTCACTCTTCTCTGCTGAACAATTGGCTAGGCTGCAAATGAACTTGTTGACCAGCAGCAGTGAATTAAGGTACTAGCAACATACATGTACATGTCAGGCCTCTCAGATAATCGGGGAGACTTCTGGACATAGAACATATCACCTGATCTCCTGTAAGGGTAACCAAATCTCCTGGATAAAAAAGTTGCATCACTGTCAGCATACATCCTGTCTCAAATACCCAAATCAAAACAATTACATTTTTTAACTTACCTTGGGGGAAGGGGGAGGGGGTTGGCAAAGAGTGGATGCACACCCCCACCCCTGTCGTAGTTTTTCTGTTGTTATGTAACTCAAGTTAACATTTTTTAATAACTCATTTATTACATAACACATCCAGCCATGCTGGCTAACTGGTAGAGAAAGAACAATGCATTATGGGAGATATGTTAATTACATTATAATATGCAACAACCCCCTGTGCACAACGGCAGCGACCACTCTCTCCTCCTCCTGAGATTTTAGATTTCCAGAGATTGGCATCTCTGTAGCTAGTACACATGTAGACATCATTTTGAGTTGTGAAAAATGTAAGAAAAAATGTGCCAAGTTAATTGGCCTTATCACTAGGGGTCTGTAAACTGCTTAAGTAGGTATAATCTACCAAAAAAATTGATCTTAAATCTTTTGATTCCATAAACTCGAGGGTGATTATGACTCCTTATGCTTGTGAATTAGACATCATACATATTAATACCTCCTAAATTCATGAATGCAGTTATACTATACCTGGATTCAATGAATAAATCAATGCATATTTATACAAAATGTAGTTGCATCAGAATGAACCATGGGCACCAGCTATACTCAGTACGTCTACTCCCGTCACTCCCCTTTCTTGGGACTGGCGATGAATGCACTAATGATGTTTTGAATGCTAAAGTCCAGTGCAGTGGATAACCTCCTGTTCATTAAATGGGGACTTAAACTTGTTTGATTCACATTAAATGTATATTACATGACATGCTTTTGGAGTAGAGACGTACGTACATGAAAGCAACGTGCTGGTACCTTGATTATGTTCTGTAGAATTTGATGAAAGTACTGTATGAGGTACATGCGCATTATAATATTTCATATACAAGGAAGGTTTTCCACACACCTAGCATCAAACTCAGACAATCGCACTTTAACATCATCCTCAAATTGCGCAGAATAAAATTTGATTATTTACGACCAGTCAGTCGGCCCTCTTCAAGTGACATTTCAGTAAAGGTCAACGTAAAAACCTAGCAGAGTTGTGTTACAGCGTGATTTTTACCTGCTGACAGCACTACACAGGACTCTCCGCAGGTTTAGCATCTTGGTTCTTCTCATAAACAAACAGTAGGACTAAAATCTGATGCTTCTTTAAAGGAAATATAGGTCAAACTCTCACAACTTCTCTACTTCGTCTAGCGTGACCTCTAACTCGCGACCGAATAACGTCAATGGTCGGAGTCAGCTGAGAAAAAAGTACACCGGTGATAAGATAGGGAATTGAAACGATACGCCTATTCACTTATATATAATACTTCAAGAAAGGTTTGGTGATGTTTTTACCAACTTAATGGTATAAATGAAGTTTTTCTGGCACGTCTTGAGCTTTAGGTATCACTGCGCTGTCCGGGAGGTGTGTCACAGTTGACCAATCATGACAAAGAATAATTCTTGGTACATTTCATATACAAACGGCACTGCCATCTAGCGACAAATTACTTTCGTGCTTACACAGGTGCTACAGGTGCTAGTTTACTTCGTTTTACACTCGAACCCAATAAGTTCGTCCCTTTGAAGGGGATCGGATTTACTTTTGCCACAATCATTGCACAGTTCAGAACATGGCAATCGCTCAGACACAGTTGTTAACTCTTCTGCAAATATCAGACAGTGGTAAGTAAAGAATGGTGGTACATACAACATGTACATGTGTATAAATGTTTGGAATTGGGGGTGGGGGGGGGGGGGGCGACATTTAATGGAGAATTTCAATTTCGCAAAGGTCATTTAACACTAATAATTTGTACATAATTTTAACTCTACTTGCAAAAAAAAAAAAGTCACAGGTAGATATTGGTCTGCTCTATATTTTTTTCATTGTTTATTGTAAATTTTTTTGATTTATGTATATTTTAGAATTGAAATTTTCTGAATAATAATTTTGAGAATCATATATAAGTACCCAATTGTTTTAATCCACTTGCAGTATCTCACATACAGCCAGCTGGTTCATAAACAGCGTAAACTTAAGTTTATCACTTATTAATCCTTACAGACGTATATGTACTGGTATATATTTTGTAATTGTTTTTTTTTTTTTTTCTCTCTCTAAATTTTTTGTTATTATAAGCATTCCCAACTGGAGGCTTTTCTCACAGTCTTGGCTTAGAAGCAGCTGTCAAGTTCCAACTAGTTGAGGCAGGCAACCTGGGTAAGACAAGGATGCCATTATCAGCCGAATATGGTCTGTATACAGAATTTATAGTAAATATACAAGAGACATACATATATGTGAACCCTATCTCTGGGTTTCATAGGCATACCCACTGTGCATGCCCGATCATCAGGAGGTGTTTATTCAAAATGATATTTCAACAGTTTTTCTTTTTTTCATAAAGTTGTACATTATTTGATCCATGGTACCTATCAGTATGTAATCCAAGGAAAATGATTTATTTATGAGTTATTAATTTACAACACCAATATTTTTATTTGCATAACTGTTTATAAAAGTGATATATATATTGTCTTTTTTAGATGTATTGGAGCAGTTTACAGCAGCAGTCCTTGAAAACACTGGTATGGATTCATTTTTCTACTCACTTACATTAAAATACATGAGTGATCCATTGAGATCTAGGTATTAACTCTCTTACACAATAACAGCTAGGGCTCTCCATTAAGTACTCCATATCTGTAAGTATTTCAATACCAATACATGTACTGCGTGATGCAAAATGGTCCCAAGTCTGCTTACTGTAAGTTATTTACGTCAATATTTCTGAAGAATAAATGTATCTTTTAGTACATGAAATGACTTGTGCACACTCTTTATTCCAGGTTCCTTCTCCCTCCCTTTTGTCACAGAAGCCTATGAGAGCAGTGACAACTTCACAGAGCTTAAAAAACTGAATGACACTTGTGATGCCTGTACCTCCAACCATGTGGCAAAGAGAGCCTCCACAAGACAGGTGCAGCAATTATAAGGGGGAAGAGGGGTATTAGAGAGAGGGAGAGAAAGTTAAAGAGAGGGAAATTAAAGCAGGGCCTGTAGCCAGGGTTGGTTGAAACGAACTGCCTTCTTGGCTGGGAAAAGACTATGGGTAAAATTTGATATAGGCACCTGCAGGTTGCATGGTAAAAGATCCACTTTTTCCAAAAAAAAAAAAAAAAACTGTTTGAATTGAAATTGCATGCTGGCTATGAGCCTGGAGAGAGAGAGAGAGAGTGGAGGGGTATCAGGAAGAGAGATTGTTACCTCAGACACAGAAAGGGGGTAATGGGCAGTAGAGTGGGGGAGGGGGGGTCAAGAAGGGAGGACAGAGAAAGAAACTATGCCACTTATAAAACTGTCCATGTACAAATGTGTCATAACTACATGGTTTAGCTTAATGAATTGCTCATTTGTGGATACTACATAAAGGAGATTTTATAATACCCCATATGCTAGCTTTGTGTTCTTATATTGAACTAGCAGAATTACTCTGTTAATGTGCAAGCAAGCACACACATACACTTACTAGTATGTACACATGCATATACCTACTATAAATCAGTGACATTAACATCTTTCCAGGGTCGATCACTTCTCTCCACTAGTGCCAGGACTTTTAAAAATGAACTTCTTCAACATTTTCAAGAATTTTCTGAGGCCCAGGATGGCTTTCAGATGCACCACCCTGTCATGTTTGGACATCTATGTAGGATTCTGGGAGTGGACTTGTCACAGTGTCAGACAGCGTTCGTGTTTGGATCACTCCGGACACTGTTGGCCAGTGCTGTCAGACTGGACATTGTTGGGGCATTAGAGGTAATAGTTATAGATAGATAGATAGATAGATAGATAGATAGATAAAATCAGATAGATAGATATTGCAGCTTTGTATTAAAATAGACAAAAACTAGCATCAGCATTGCTATGATGGTGAAAACAAATGTAAAAATGTCCATTATTTGAATGTATTTCAAAAATAAATTAATATGAAGTCTTAAGTAAAATGTCTTAAAATATGTGTTTTCAAGTCCTTTTTAAAAGATTCTTGTGATTCCATTTGCCATAAGTATATAGGCAGTCCATTTCCTTCCAGTATGGCCAAGGCTGGTCTACTTTATTTATGCATAGTAAAAGAAATGAGGGGGATATTTTTGCTGTAATCATTTTAGGCTCAAGCTTTACAGAATAAGATGCAATCTTTCATACCAGACATAATATCAAAGTAAGTGGATGGCAGTGCAAGGCTGTGATGTTGGTCTGATAATTATAAAGCAGTGTGTTAGGTGTGGTGTTGACCTAATGCTGGAATGGCAGTGTGCTAGGTGCGATGTTGAAATGCATGTTGCAATAGTTGTAAGTTTGGTTCTGAATTAGTTTTTAAATTTTTTTATGCGTTTTACTTTCGTACAACTACTCAAACATTTCATTGGGGTAAATTGTGATTTTTACATATATATATATATATATATATATATATATATATATATATACACATATATATATTATTTTTAAAGTCATAATTTTTTTTAATTAGAACATTCCTTTTGAGTGGTGCCAACGAAATTTAAAAGTAGGATGTTTTATAGTTCTATTTTATGCAGCAAAAGTACCACAAATCTACATAGAAATGAAATCTTTATGATTGTAAAAATATGTATCTGAAAGTTTGAGCTTTTTTTTTTTTTGCTCATTTCAAAGAGCAAATTATTACCATATTAATTGATAAGTTAATCATTTAAATTCAGTTGAAACATGAGAAGAATTCTTACCAAAAGAGATCAATTGCTGCTGAAAAACTGTCTAGTCAACTAGTACAGTACCAAGCAGCCTAATATAATAACATTATTCATTACAGGTACAGAAGCAGAAAAGCAGAAGAGGCCTGCGTATCTTTTCCCTTGCCAGAAGTGCTACAAAACTCCCAGGATACTCTGTTCTCTAAGCTGTTTTACTCTTGAACTTCCCATAGAATTTTGATATATATTATACAAGAAATTGTGAACTATGTTATACAAAATATGAGGCCACGATACAAAAGATGGTGTCTTTTTCTCATTTTATGACTGGAAAATGAGGTCATTCCTGATTTTATGCAGTACATTTATAGTTAATGTCAAAAAGGTAGTTATTTTAAAGAATTCTTTAGTAATTTCAAACAAAGATTTTGTACAAAAAAAGCAGATCTAAGAAAAGAAACAGACTGGGCAATGATTCGTGAGTAAGAAAAAAATTTTTTCTCAGTAAAAATTATAAGTTTATTTCTTTTTTTATTGCAGCCACTGCTATTCAACTCGAAAAAAGTATTTTCAGAGTAAGTTTGTCAACTAATTCCGGTGATATTTTCTTAAGGAACATCAATATCGATGACCATCTGTCAGAAGTCGTGTGCACTTCGTATTGCCTGGAAACAGTTGCCTTGACGATCTCCAAAGCAACAACTGTTGGATCCACAAAGTTAAGCGAATTCAACTTTTCCTCTCCCAGTGCCTGTCTGAAATTCCCCATCACAATTTCTGTTCCTGCAATGATTTGTAGTTTGACTTTGAAATATGTTCCTACGTTTTTATGATATTTTAAAACATATTTATAGCGCAACCCCTTTCTATATACAGAAAAGGTGATACCTCTTTTCACGCTTGCGAGATCGAATTCAAATCATCCCCTTTAGTGAACTAAACATTTCAATGAGAGGGTAACAGATTTGTGATAAAGTCACTTACTGGTCCCAGCCACTATGCACGAGGTGACGGAAAC